AAGACAACATGTCTATACTATAATGTTGCCGGTGATATCTCGGTATTTATTTCTAAACATAATTATATAGATAAAGAAAAGAGACACTTGGCAGTGTTTACGGGATAAATGCAAATCTGAGAATTATTTTAAAGAAAAAAATAAATAAAAAAAACTGTTTGTTACTTGAGTTGAGAAGTTCAATAATGCAACTCTATCCTTCCCTTTTCTTTGTAAAAGAAACCGATTTACCTGATCTTGAGCATTCTCTGATGATTCATCATCACCACCAAACTCATCATCATCGTCTTCCTCGCCTTCTTCCTCCTCCTCCAACATACCAGGCTCGAGTTGAGTGAAACGCATGCGCTGTAGAAACAATCAATGAATCGTGAACTTATAAACGTAAGATGTTKGTGAAACAATGCCGAGCTTTTTTTAGGGAGGGAGGGGTAGTTAGCTGTAAAAATATAAAGCGATGTGGGATATGAAAATCTCCTTCAAGTGATATTTCATAAAGAGAATTTACGCTTTAATCAGTCGTGTTCCCCAACCTGTTCTTTCTTCTCATTATCGTTAAGTTCCCTGTGCTTGACTACGAGTTTAGAAACMGCTGACCTCACTCCACCAATACCACCGCGGGCCCTTCTTTTACTTAAACGAACTCTGCAAAGATAATATAATACCATCATCATCATCTTCATCTTCATCATCATCACTGTGATCATTATCATATTGCTGTTACATATCTGAAGTAAAGGATATGGCGATATTATCAATGTAAACATCATACCTTGTGACTAACTCATTATAAAATACTCCTTCTCCTTCRCGGAAAACAAAGAAATAGTTTTCCTGGAAATTGAAAAAAATACATCATGAATGACTGAATTGCGCTGCAACATGRGTTTTGTTTCCTTGTGATCAATAATGAACAATAWTTATCACTGTCATTAGCATKGTGGTAAAAAAAATCCAGACAAAAGTCTCAACAAGTGTAGTGTCAGTAACTGAAATGGTATTTTACCTCATATCCTTTGGTAGATTTGTTCTTTACATTCCAATTATACTCTCTRGCCATCTTGTACTCATACCTAAATGAAAATATCAATTGTTTAATAATTATTTAATAGTAATCAAGATTTAGAACTCTTCATTTAAAAGATTAGACAAGACAGTTATAATTTTTTTTTGCTGATGTGAATATTGAAATGATGAGCTGAAAAAATATGAAATCTTGCATGTAAAGAAAAGGAACCTCTATGATTAAAATCCCCTTCCACAAACTTCCACAAACCATTTTCCTTTAGCCTTGTTTTCATCATAAACAAAAACATAAAAAAACTTAATATGTAACAGAAATTTCCAACTCTATGTGAGTTACAATGTATGTTATGCATTTTCAAATACACAAGTGTTTTTAAAAGAGCTTGTTCTTGTAAGGAGCTTGCTCAAATACATCAAATACTTCTCTACAAGAATCCTTGACTTACTCTTCCTCATCCATGTAATCTGTTGCAGTTTCTTGATCACGTTTTCTTTTCCCAAGTGTTTCATTAGAAGGAAGAAAATATGCAACAAACTGATCACCGCTTGCGTCAACCATACCTCTGTGAACAACCATAAAACAATGATAAACATTTATTTTAAAAGTAAAACAAAATAATTCCACCAAAAACTTCTACACAAATTACAATGTAAACTGTATCTGTACCTGATCATAGCCTGGCTCATTTCGTCAATCTGTGCAGGTCCTTTCTGGTCACGAGGAGTTGGATCAGAATCAAACACMACATGAGCACAAGCATAGGACCACATTTGAAAGTCAGGGAAGACAGGAAGAATTTCTACWGGGGTGATGTTAGACTTGCTTGGATGACGATGTATCTACAAAACACAAAAAGATACACACACTCTTAGGTTTTGAAGACAGGAAATAGTAACTTTTCTTTCTTTTATCACTGTTATAAAAATGTATTTAAAGAGTAGTTATTATTGTCAGGAAAAATTTTTAAAGCCAGGATTGTTTGACATTTTTGTCCTTATGCCAGTAAACAACTTCTCTGTATTCTTATAATATTAGTAAAAGTTGAAAATAAATTGAATAAGGTGCAATGATTTACTGATTATTTCTTACAGGTTTCTTAGCAGCATCAAAAGTRTTTTCAATAGCAGCAAGTTGACTTTCACGATCCTGAAAAAAAGAATAATTCTCTTATGTCAATACATAACATTGAATGTTAGAAATGCCTTACATCTCCCTTACTTTATATAAATCTGATCCTTTAAATTTCTTTCTAATATGATATCCAACTCTGAAAGTAAACAAAAAATACAGCATGGAAGATCCATATTACAAAGTCAATACTCCAAACATTAGGTTGACCTTTTCAACACCACTCCATTCCCCCCCCCCTATTCTTTGATAGTGGCCTAGTGGCCCAGTCTCTAAAGGAACCACAAGTTGGGAAAGAGTAAATAAGTAGATCATGATTTTGAAATAAATACTTTGTCTCAGCCATTTCATTGCTTGTCAAGGCTCTGTTGTATTCTGTGGAAATATACTCCGTCTTACGAAGCCAAGAAACATTTTTGTTATGGTGTCGAGTTCTGAATAAAAAAGTGAAAAACAAGGAATTTTAATTAAAATATTAAATATTAAAATATAATAATACTATTAGGTTATAACGATACAATAATGTGAGGTAAGAAATGTTCTCCTAGTTTATTAAGGTACATGGTTATTATCACCTCTTTTGATCTGGCATTACAACAGAGTCTTCTTCTAAGAGTTTTTCGTCAGCAGGATCCAGAGTGGCTAACATGACAAAAATAAAAATATAAATTTTAAGTAGACTTCAATACAGTTACTGTGTTGGTGAACTTGAACTAAAGATTTCTGAGCAGTGTCTATATTCCACAAGCAAAACAGAATTGCTGAGAACATACTAGGTTGTATTACATACCATTTGGATCAAACGCATACATGTTGGGGTCAATAAGGTCGATATTCACCCCAAGGTCAACATCTGTCAGTAATTCATGTTTGTAGTTTTTTTCCAGTGATGTTGGTTTGTATTGCACAAATCTAAGGATTAAAAAGTTTGGATCAAACACAAGATGACTGAGAGGGAGGGAGGCAATGCTGGTTAGGGTAATAGTAATCTCTCGAGTACAACTTTAGGGTAACTGGGTTCGACTGGTCACATGGGGATGGCAATATAAGTGCAGAAACCCATGTGTTTAAAGGAGTATTAAAAAGTGATTTCTTAAGGTTAAGAAGTAACTTGTTTCACTGTGCAAGTCTGGTCTTCCTAATATGTTCTCAAGAGATACTCAAAATTCTGCTGTTGGGGATTCAAATGTCTTCTCCCTCTAAGATACATGTATATTGTGGGAAAACACATGTAATCTACAAGCTATACAGCAATAAAATCAAGTAAACAATGTTACAAGCCTACAAACGTTTTACAGTACAGATATCATTTTTATCATGTTAAATAACTGACCTGCTTCCCTCAAAGGGATAAGTAATAAATTTAGCATCAAATGGGATGTCAGGAAGACTGTTGTTATACTTAACACGACATACAAAGTCTGATCTGTAAAGGCAAGTCAAAACAGTCAAAAATTACATTGAATTTTATCAGTATTAAACTATATTTTGCTTCTATCAAAAACTTACTTTGAACGTGTACTTCCATGCCTTAAAACAGATAAAAAAGTTTAAGTACATGTAAGCTCAATCAAAACTACAAAAAAGTTTTAAAATTCGAAGCGCACTGCGCCAAAAAAAGCGTGTAAAATTCTTTGGTTTTCAAACATCTTTAAACTTACCGATCCTGTTTTTGGTCATTACCCTGGATTGTTGGWGGCATGATTCAATAAATAATTAGTAACGATGGCACTAAAACAATCAAAACAGCTAGAAATTTCACATTTTTGACAACAGGATCATCTTTGTGCAGCAAACAACATGGCTGACATGTTGACTAGTTCCAGTCTATCGCGTATCTTTCAAAGCATCATGTTTTGGGCTACCTGTGGCTAAAACAAAATTATGATGTTTTAGATGTCTCTCACTCAAAATTGTATCAGAAATTMAAAAGGAAGACGTATTGTGCTTTCTTTAAAAGTATTTGATAACATGATAAAGTGACATTTTGGACCCAGCTCAATGTAAMATTTCGCGCCATTTGATCCATTTTCCCGCGAAAACTGCGAGGTTGCCAACGAGTTCAAGGTCACCAGATYACAACTCGCGCCAAAAAGGAGAGGCAACTCGAGCGCGGGTCGCTCGCAAGCTGTAGAAAACAAAAACAGTCCTCTTTCGTTTTAGCAATGTTAGCGGAGTCTTCCAAGAAAGTAGAGACAATTTCATCGGTAGAACACAAAAAAATTGGAGTTCCGTCACATTTGCTTGTTGAAGTTATGGGTGGAAAACTTTCTTTGAAAGCAAAAACAGTGCCTCCGAGCTCAATAGAGGAATCTTTTTCCTATTCTTGTTCTCTTGTTTGTAACGAAACCTTAGACGCAAATAGCGTAACACCCAAGAAAGAATGCRCAAAAAGGAGCCGGAAGACCAAAGCTCAATCCCACCAGCAAATTCCACGAAAAAAACTGAAGATAAGCATGYTGTACGAGGATTATGAAACACGGAATTCATACATGGCAGCCTTCTTCAAGCTTTTGGGTGTGTAGTTATAAACTTTATTCTTTTTCTTTGTCAAAACTGAAAGGTCTATAGCTTATGTTCAAGGTTAAAACACTTCTTCGCGTCTTTTCTCACTTGTTTGGAGTTTAAATCGAAAAAACTTTTTTTTTGCTTTTAGATGATGACACCATTCAAGAYTTCCTCTGGATGGATGGTTGCGCGAAAATCTCTGACAAAGTAAGAACTTAAGTTCAGAGCTGTATTCATGCAATATAACAGTTCCCCGAGAAACTGAAAGCTAACTTTRATATTTATCATTTTTCTCTAGTATCTTTTGTCCATGGTTTACGCTTATTTYAGAAGAGCAAATTTACAAAGAAGAGAATTTAATAGACTAAACTTCTTTACAGCTCTGTAAGTATTCATGTAATTTAGCTATATAAAATGTAACCAATTTGGAGAAAAGCGGCAAAATGCTAAAAATATTATTATATTCCTCAAAAAGCTATCTTGCAAACGATATGGAAGAAGACGAAGAGGATGATAAGTACGATATTTTCCCGTGGGCCTTGGGAAAGAGATGGCGCGAGCTGTATCCAAACTTTCTTGTCAGGAGAGATATCTTATGGAAAAAGATGAACTAYAGAGCAGTTGTTAGCAAACAGACATGCAGTGAGGTACAACAAAAAATTTTGAAAGTTGAATATTGATCTTTTTTAGAATAATACTTAAAATGGAGTTCGGATATGCCGCGCTTGGCTGAAGAAAACCGCGCGCGCTCSGATCATTAAWATTCACAATCTCCATCATTATATTCTGAATTTCTCTTTCATCCTATTTTATTTTTCATTTATTCACCTATCCTMTTATTCATTATTTCATTTTCAAGGTGATGATGATCGTGCCAGATCATCCCATTTGGTGGCGYGAAAGAAAATCCCACCATGGAGGGGCTTGGAGGAGCTACACATTCTCAAGTGACCCTGTGTGCAGTCCACGGGGCCCTGGTTCAAGTCCTGTTATCTGCAGCAAGTGCAAACCTACCCCATCAAGCATAAATAATACTCCTTCRACCACCTCAGACTAYAGTTCGCAGTCCTCATTAGAGGAATCTAACAGCATTCAAAATATACTTTAAATTWAAAGTTTGCAAAAATTRYCAAAATAATTTTTTTACTCTCCACAAGCTCCACATAATTTATTTCATGAGAATGAGTGTATTTTGGACTAAACTCCATTTTGAGATTACAAAACTACGGTAGTGGCATAATTTAAAGAAATCATACTAATATTAATACTAATAAGCAGTCAGATAGACTTATAGTGTTTATGCTTCCTTCTGACTAAATTGCACATCATAAGATTTGAGGCAAATTTACATTTTATTGAAAATTGCAATTATTATTTATTAAAAGGACTTCAAAAGGATTTAACCATTTTCAAATGTCACATTAAATAATATTTTTAATAATTTATGAATCACACATATATCATAGTAACTAACTATGTATATAGATTATATCGCTTGCTTTGTGTGACAAGTATAAAAAACATCATGATTGTAAATATGATATTTATAAAAATGATAAATATTAATAATTATGGAAGCTTTAATTTATAACCTTCCAGTTTCTATTCTCTATGAATTAGCTTCAAGATGAAACCTGTAAAAAAAAGTAAAGATCATTAAAGGTTTGGAAACACTAGTCTTATTTTCATTGTTTGCATTGTGTGACAACCAGCATAGTAAAAAGCAACAGCAGGCAATATTAGCAATAGACTGCCATTAAATCAAACACAGTGGTGTAGCTTTTAAACTATGGAACCAGTGGCAGTGCAAAATGTCTTTGGTTGATTGACAGCTGTCTATTTTTAACTGCATGTTTAGATTTGTTGCATGGCAATACAAATGATTAGTATGGAGCACTCATTTGATCAACAATGATGGATCAAAATCAATAAAATTGAAGCAATTAGCTTGACTTATATATACAGACAGTGTTTGCAGGGATGGGAATTGAAAGAGTTATTGTTGGAGTGCTGTGTTCTACCTACCAGTATGTGGAAACTGCTGAAAGGATGGCTTAGCAGCATATTTAACTGATGACATAGTTTCTTCTATGCTGCCATTCTCTGCATCTTTGTGATTTTCCTCTATATCACAGTCTACAGGGGTAACAGGTTGTATTTTCCACAATCGATGAGAAACTTCTACAACCTTATCAACAGCAAATGGAAGTTTCTTTTTGTTGCARTGACTCACAACATCCACTATTTGGGTGATACTAAAGAATTCAAAAGCTTCAGCTTTAATTGGTTATTGTTAAAGAAAGCAAAAGGAGTAAGGAAAATTGTAGCTTCACTTTTACTCCAATTAATGATCAATTCCCCTCCTCCCTTTGATAAAATGCTGGATCCACCCTTCACAACATTGCCCATTAAGTACAGTTTACGTCTCTCCTTTGCATAAGAGTATGATGCAATAAACTTACCTGGGAAGAAATATGACAACAGGGCATTCCTCTTTTATAACAGGCATCAAGAATTCCAAATAGTTTTCAGGTGATTGCAAGTCTAACAAAATCTAGAATAGAAAGACCATACTATTTTCCTATACCATATAAGCATACCATCTGCTCTAAAAGAGATTATGACACACAGCAGCTATCAATGCCAAGCTACAAAGGCTATGAACCAAGAAAGCAGACTTCTTTTCTAAAAGGTTTTATGCCACATTGAATGATAGCCATTATTGCTAGCCCTCCCTGTGCACAWTGTCTGAKACTCATTTTATTCATCRTATTTCTGATGCCTAATCATCTACTGTCCCAAAAGCTTACCATATCCACTTTACAAAATATAGGCAGTGTATCTCKGCAATTCTTTAATGATGTATGATAAAAAGTCACATTTTCTGGCCATTGYGGGAATTTAGTTTTATTCCAGGAGATGATCCAATTGGACACATTTTCTTTTGCTTTCTTGAAGTGCTTTTCATTGCTATCAAAACTGTGTACATGYCCATTGTCACCAACTGACATAAAAAGACAAATAATAGATTTAAAATTAATATAATTAAAATTAATATAATTAGAGATTTTGTCTGGAATTGTAAAATGGAAATTGCAAGGCAGAAAGGAATTTCGGTTAGAACATTATTTGATTCCTTCATAGCACTGCATGGATTTTCTTGCCTCTCCAGGATCTGGTATACTGGAAACAGACACTTAGAAGGCTACGGATTTGCATGATGGTGTTAAATAATAGCTATGAGAATGTTTTGCAACTTTCCTTTATAATTAAATTAAGAAGCAGCTGGCAACAATTGAAACCTTTATGAATGCTCTGGTCTTGGCCTCCTCTACTATGCGAACAGAGCTACTTTCTCTCGCTTCTCGGCGGGTGAGAAAAGTAGCTCTGTTTGCAGAGTAAATAATCGGATGTCAGCAGAGGTATTTTTCTCTTGCTTCTCGGCGGATGAGAAAAGTAGCTCTGTTCGCAGAGTACCTCCAGCCCACACTCTCCAAACTCAACATTCATCTCGCTTTGATGCAATGGCAAAGTTACATTTCAAGATGGTTCAGGGAGGTGTGAAATGGACTAKAGTTGAAAAGATRTAAGAAGAAAACACAAATCAGACCTGCATGAGACAGAAAGAGTGTCAAAGCACCAGAKCCTGTTCCTGCCTCTAACACCACACTTCCTTGCCTGACTTCAGCCATAGATAACATTGCTTGTATGTCTTTAGGGTACGAAGGTGTAGCAATTCTCTTCATATACAAAACATAATCTTCTAGAGAAGCCCTTTGTAATTTGTATGTTATATCATTCAAGTGGACGATTTCACCATGTTTCTTCCCGAGGATGAAATTGTGTTCCAGTACATTAATTTTTCCATTTCTTGTTTTCAGTTTTGTTTCGCTATTCAATASAAGTCTAACGAGCCGTGRAGAGCCACCAAAACGATTCTCTGTGACAACCACCATCTCTTCGTTTTGAAATGGTAAGGTTTTCTGTTGCAGAAGGACGGTTTTGGGATTTAAAAATCCGCGCCATTTTTTGAACGTCAATGCATCTTTCCAGTTTTTCCACTTTGCATTCTTAAAAATATTTTCCACATGAATCGACAATGCCAAGTTCTTTAACTTTGGCAAGAGAACCATGAACTTCATAATATTGAAAATAGAAAATAAAGTAAAGCTTACTGTTACTTTTTGTGTTGAATTATGCTACCGAGCCCGCAGTTATAATCGTCAGCTGATGTTACTTTCCCAGTCTCTCTCGTTCGTATTTATTTTTCACTCACGCATTATATTTTTTATAGCTTATTTTCATTTCTATTTTAACATCATAGTGAAAATATAATTTTTACATTTTTCACAAACTATTTTGAACATTTCTGACCTGGAAAATGTCAGTRGTTTYAGCTAGTTTGCTAGAGGTTCTTGAAAACAAAATGGCTGACGGTTCGTCGTGGTTTTATCGTGGCGAAGGGAACGAGACGTTGGTTGTTGGGCTTCGAGGATACAACCTAGTTTTACGCTTGAAAAAGAAGTTAAGGCAGTCTTTGAATGAAAGTAAATCAACAACTAACGACAAAAMAGATCATCAAGAGATCGATAAACTATTGGATTTTAGCCGCCATGTTTTCCTCCCCTTGATGGGAGGGGAGTATGTACCTTGTGGTCAAACTTTACGTCTGTCTCCTGATTTTGCTGCGATGTTAGACAAAGTGTGTGAATCCTCGAGGCCTAAACATAGGATTCACAAAGGCATTGATACAGAGGCTCCATTTGCTGTGCTAATGCCAGACCTTTGCTTTCTTCCTRGTACATTAATTGCTGAAGAAAGTTTTGCTAGAACCACAGAGAACTCAAAACCAACGTTTTCTGTTGAGATTAAGCCAAAGTGCGGCTTCCTTCCTACGTCTMCTTRCATCAAGGAAGCCCATTCTGTAAAGCACTGTGTRTGTTATTATTGTATGCTGCAAGGGGTTAAGGTGTCAGAAGGYAAATATTCCAGACAGAGCCAATATTGCCCTGTCAACTTTCTKTCAGGTGATMCAAACAGAGTGTTTCWTGCATTRAAATCYCTAGTTTCAGATCCCCAAAATAATCTCAGGGTTTTTAAGAACGGCTCTCCAATCTTCACAGAYGAAATTGTCAAGGAATTGAAGGTMRCYGCYAATAAAMAWGTCTGYTGTYCTGGATATGTCTTTGAAAAGWCATTAGAGGAATCTGGTTGGGATAGAATTGTACAAGYTGAAAGAAGTCATAAGTGTGGTGCACTTGGAGCTTATGCASTAGGCTTCATGCAAACAATCCTTCAAATATTCATTGACGATTCAAAATCTAAAAACAACARTGAATACGATTGTACCAAATCTCAGATCTGCATGGGCAATGGGAACAATACTCCAACAGATGAACTAGACAGTCTACAGGGTATAGGWGCTTTTGGGTGTGGTGGGGTGCTCCAGAGGTTRCGRCAGGTGCAGAAAATGGATGATGTAGATGTAGAAGGATTGCATCCATTGTATTTCAAGGTGAAAGACTTCTTCATGGYGAATAAAGGTGCAAGAAAAGAGTACACTGTAGATGGCCCTTATAATTYTAATYTATGGAAAGAGATCTCCACTCATTCACAATCAAAARCTTTGGTTGATAAACCTTTAGAGCTTTTCTCCATTGAGGACATAATTGTCAAATTGTGCCAATTTTCTGTTGCAAGCACTGCAAAGGATTGCTCTATTATGCTTACCTTTCAAGTTTGCTCTTCCCCACCCAAGCAYTTACCGTATATCCAAGTAGATGGCTGCTTAGATGAAAGTATTGCTTACAGTATCAACCTAGTGGATCTTGATCCCAAGGARTTTGACAGAGTTGTTAAATATTACAGGGATAGTATCTCAACTGTACAGCACTACTTACAACATCACAACAGTAAATGAAAAATGGCTGTGAAATGACTTTCGTTGTTGTAATACAAACTTTTTTAGAATACCAAAGCATATATTTATATATAATTTTTAAATTGCAAATAAAACAAAAACAAAAAAGAAACAATAGTATAAAGAAAAAATAAAATGTAAAAGAAAAAAATAAAATAGATAAGAAAAATAAAAAATTACAATCCTTACAACATCTTTCCTATTTYATGTTTGGTCAAGACGAGTACAATTACAGCGTTAATTGTACTCCTTATAAAATTTTGTTTTACTGAATGTACTATAAACAAAACGCACAACCTCTCGTGCAATTTGGAATTGATAGTCACTCGCAATGTTTTGAAAGTTATCCCATTGCACTCGCCCTATCAGGCTCATGCAATTACGAAGAACTTTCAAAACATTACTCATGCGACTGTCCAAATTGTACTCAAGGTCGTGCGACTATACTAATAGACAAACAGTAAATAAATTCAAAGAAAAACACATATTAAGCAAATAACAAGTGGGGTAACAACTAAAAAATTAAAAAAAGAACAGCTTCATGTTTGTCAATATTTTAATTTAGAGAACTTTACATACACTACCCTTACAAAAATTAATTTACTAGTTTTCTACCTCCAAGTAGGTTTATAATTTAAATCATTCTAACTAAGTTTCTTGTTATACAAACATCTTTGATCCTTCTTTCATCACTTTGATACACACAAAGGCACAAAATGTCACAAAACATAAGAACAATTGAATAAATCTATGCAATCACTCCRTATCAGGAACCCAACTTCACTAATCATTCATGACACTTAATAATGGTTTGTAGGGAAGAGTGCTGCTTTCACTTGAATTAGTTTCCTCAAGGACTATAGTWATGGCAATTATTACAAACTAAAGGATGGTTCAAGGAGTACGAAGCAGGGGGGGAGCACAATTCTTCCCTGATATGACTTTGTATCTATACTGTATGTATCTTATGCAGCATTTTCTGTTATGTGCACCCCCCAGGCTTCACTCCTGCATTAAATGCTGTGCTCTCTTCTTTAAAAGAAATACTGGGAAAAAAAAAACAACTAAACTCTGACGTAAAAGAAAAGAAAAGTGTTCTATTTCATGATTAGTGTTCAAGCTTGTAATATTGAATTATTCACATCTTGCTAATCAGTCGACTTGAAGCTAAGACTTAACAGCAACTGGCTTCATCTCTGATGKGTGAACAGCTTCAGCTTTCCAGATCTCTTCAGCATATTGCTTTATTGTACGGTCTGATGAGAACTTCCCTGATGTTGCTACATTYATGGCAGCCATTGTGTACCACTGCTTGGGGTTCTAATGAGGAAATGATGAGTTAGAGTATACTATGGGACATTTAGTTTGAGGAATTAGAATATTCTTACCATGAAAGTCTGGCTGACTCTTTCCTGGCATTTCAGATAAGCATCAAAATCRGCCATAAGTAAAAACCTACAAATAAAACAAGAAATTGGAGACRCATTGTTCTTTCAATATCTAGATTTGAAATACTTTGGTCTATCCTGGTATTGGGCTTCCTGTGTTTTCTCTATGAGGGCAAAGGAAGCCCAACATTAAAGGGCCCTACTTTAAGACCAGACAAGACAATTATAGATAGAARTAACTGTTCAAGGGGAGAGAGAAAGGGAAAAAAAGTGAGGAAAAAATAGGAAAAGAAATGTWAGAAAGAAGAAATGAAAATTGATGGAAAGAGGAAAGGAAGTGGAAAAKGTAAAAAAAGAAGAAATGAGAAGAGAATGATCGGAGGGAAAGRTAAGCAAGGAARYAAGAAAAAGTCTCACCTGTCATGGTAAACCATAGCATTATAAATATCCTGGAATACRCCTGGCTCTCTTGGAGAAAAGTAGTTATCACGAATTTGATCCAATGCTTTTCTGAGCTCAGGATTCTTGTCATAGAATACTTTGGGGTCATACCTATTGCCACAAAAATAAAYCATTAAATACACTTAATGCTGAATGAAAACCAGAATAGTTTCTCTTTACTTACCCTGCTTTTTTACACTTTTCTACTTCTTCCACAGTCATCCCAAAGATGAACATGTTCTCTTCACCCATTTCTTCACACATCTCAACATTGGCACCATCAAGAGTACCTATAGTCAGGGCACCATTCATCTGGTAATACATGTTACAAAACACAGACTTTACAAAGAGAAGCATAAGGCATAATTGTAATATTTAAGATTAATTATCAATTTATTAATAATCCATCAAGTATATTTATTAATTTTATTGAATAATAATGTTAGTATTAATAGATAAATTAATCAACATAATTTTACCATAAACTTCATATTTCCAGTCCCAGATGCCTCTGTTCCTGCAAGCGAAATCTAAAAGGCAACAAAATAGGAAAAAAAAAATGCCATTTAACTATTATTCCACACAACATTGATATTTGTTTGATGGATATTTTTTACACACCTGTTCTGACAAGTCTGCAGCTGGAATAACTATAACAAAAGGAAATCATCATTATGAATAAAAYATTATACATACTGTATAAATAAGATAAACCAGTGAATAATTGTGGCAGTACCYTTTTCAGCAAAAGAAACTCTGTAATTCTCCAAGAAAACCAATTTCAGTTTGTCTCCAATAATGGGATCATTGTTGACAACTGGAGAAAATGGAAAAAACATTATCAAAYATTTACTAGACAGTTAAGTTCAGGTGGGAAGTTGTTACCTCTGGCAACACTATTTATGAGCTTTATAATAAGCTTAGCCATGTAGTAGCCTGGAGCAGCCTGAAAACAAAAAAAGATTAACATGACACTTTGAGCGCTTTTGATTGTTTTCATTGACAAACTCTGTACTTTTAATTTCTGTAAAGATTGTCAAACATGGCCAATTTGAAGAGGATGCAGCTTATTGCTGGTTAACTTACCTTGCCACCAATCATGACTGTACGAGGAACAAAGCTCATGTTTGGGTTTGCCTTCAAACCTATCAATCAAAACAAACAAAGATTTCAAATATAAAACAAATGTACATATTCATAGGATTGTGTACAGAAACAATTCAAAAGATTATGGAAAGGTTTACAACTTAAGCTTACGATTATAAAGCACAATGACGTGTAGGCAAGTCATAAGTTGTCGTTTATACTCATGGATYCTTTTCACTTGGATGTCAAAGATTGAATCTACATTCACATCAACATGAAATTCAGACTTGATGTAAGCAGCAAGCCTGATCTTGTTTTCCTGTAGAAAAAGAACAATAAAAAATGCAGTTCACTCAAAGAGATTTCAATTAAAATAGTTGGTATGTCAAGATTTTCACACTGCTACAAGTGTTTATACTAAACATACGAACCTGTTTAGACCTTGTAAATGCATGCAAAAAGGACTTTTCATTCAAGAATGGTTTAAGCTTTATAAGCTCTGACAAATCAGTTATCCAGCCGTCACCAATTTTCTGTTGAAAATTCATAACAATTTTGAATTTGTATATTAATGGCAACTTAAATAGAAAATATGGGGAGTAGAACCATACCTCACATATCAAGTCGGAGAGTCCTGGATTGCACATTAGTAGCCAGCGACGAGGTGTTACGCCATTGGTCTTGTTCTGAAACTTTTCTGGACTAAGCTCATAAAAGTCCTTAAACCTATTAAATAAGAACACACCAGAAAAATGTAATGGGTTACTGTTCCATCATGTTTTTCTTCCTGTCATTTTGTAATCCTAATCATAGTTCCTTAGTTCCCTAGAACTCTTCCTCTGTTTAAGTTTTGGTCTCACATGACTTTTCGCTAAAAGTATAGTTTCCCATAAACAGACTTTTCAAAATCACAGCGTAAATCATAAATAGTTAAACAACACTCACATTCCRTCCTTGAGCAATTGTGAGTGCAAAGCTGCGACTCCATTTACTGCATGCGATCCTACAATGCATAAAAATGCCATGTTGATTTTCTTTTCTTGTCCTTCTTCCACTAAAGACATTCGTCTCATTCTATCAATGTCTCCAGGCCACTTGTCAAGCACAACCTAGAATAAAATTAAATCTAACATTAATGTACAATGCACACCCATAATATTAGAATTCAACTTCAACTGGTGTATTTAATTCAATGACTTGCATGTACCTTTAAGTRTCTTGCATTAATTTCATAAATGATACTAAGATGTCTAGGTAGAATGTACTCTAGCATATGCACTGGCCATCTCTCTAGAGCCTCTGGTAGAAGGGTATGGTTTGTGTAACCAAACGTATTGACACAAATATTCCATGCCTAAAGAACATAACAAAAAAATTATTCTCAATTTTTTTTTCCACTTTTTTTTGCTTCATTTGATATAACCATGGTATATCATGAATATACCATAGTTCAGTAGCCAATCAGAATGCTGGATTAGTTGTTGGATAGTAATATACCTCATCCCAGTCTAAGCCTTCAAGGTCTGTAAAGATTCTCATTAGTTCAGGGATGGCCAATGATGGATGRGTGTCATTTAGTTGTATAGCAACCTAAAAACAACCAAGATTTTTAAAAGTTATGTTATCATTAATGAATACTTTGTAATTGTAAAAGGAATGGTAGATGATTGCAAGAAAACAAAATGCCTGTTGAAGCTAAAGTTTGTTTATTATATTGCCCTTGACCCTATGAATAAGGTATTATTAGGTGTTATTTGAAAATATACCTTATCTGGGAAGTCATCAAAGGTTTTTCTTTTAGCAGATCTATCGCCATACTTTGATGCTTTGTAACGTCTCACTATGTCTTGTAAAGTAGCAGACACCATGAAATACTCCTGTTTTAGTCGTAGTTCTTTGCCTTCAAAAAACTGTCGATTAACCATTAATAAAATGAAACGATTAATGATTTAAAATTATGATTAACAATGCAATGATGAATCTATTGACAGTCTTCATTGTAATAACTTGCATGCTTAAGTGTTGACTAACTAACTGATTGATTGACAGGGAAATCAAAGATAATAATAACTGACAGAAAAATATTGATTGTATGCTTGATATATGATTAAATGATTGACTACTATATAAACTGCAATTTTATGTACACATATCAATGTATAACTCACATTGTCATTAGGATACAAGACYCTTGAGATATTTTCAGCACTATTTCTATCACAGACAGCTTTGATATAATCACCATCATTGACTGAAAAAAAAGATAAATCCATTCAATCAGCTGGGCTTCCTGTGCCTTTCCACAGGAAACCCAATACCTACCATTAATAGCAAGGTTTGTAGCTATTGGTTAAAGATTACTCTACATGTATAAACTTGAAACAATTTTAAACAATTAACATTAGTTACTTACAGTAAGACAGGTCAAAATCCTTTGACGACTTGCAAGACCAAAGYCTCATTGTATTACAAGTATTGTTACAGTATCCAGGAATTGGCTGGTCATATGGCATGGCATACACATGACTWGTGTGCTCCCACTTTGGCTTTCCATCTTCACCTTGGTTTACTTTGCCATAAAACTGGACTGGTATGGTGTACTCTGGACGAGACTTTTCCCAWGGGTTGCCAAACTTCAGCCAGTCATCAGGGTGTTCAATCTGGGAACAAAATAATGAAGCATTATGAAAGTGTAGAGATACAATTTTAGTTGAAAATCGCTTTATGAATTATTGATATGCGACATGCATGACAAAAAATTCATACCAGTAAATATTACTATTTTTTCCTGTTGTTYCCTTGGGCTATATGTGTTAAGTTTATGTAATGCATAATTAATGTGCACCTTTCAATGAACTTATTATAGGTACTTAATTTGATTAATAAAATTAGATGTGATCAAGATTGTCATTATACGTGGCAGTTGCATGGGTAATGGTATTATAATAGTATTATAAAACAAGTTTTAAAATCTTATTATGTTACAATCTAAATGCCAACAAACGAATATTGAAAATATCTAAGAAGATTAATAAATATTTTACCTGGTTTCCTTTTTCATCTATTTCCTGTTTAAAGATTCCATAGTCATATCTTATACCATAACCATAAGCAGCATAGCCGAGCGTTGCCATGGAATCTAGAAAACATGCCGCAAGACGACCAAGTCCACCATTTCCCAAACCAGCATCCTCTTCGATTTCCTCCAGCTCTTCCATTTCTARACCCATCTGACAATTGAAAACAATTACCAGTATTAGCTGAATTTGAGTAGATTCCTTATTCTAGTCCTGATTCTCTTGAGTATTTGATGACATTAATGATTGAARGTCCAGGTGAAAAAATAGCATTATATATGGACTATATAGTCAAGAATTATAAAAATTGTTCAAAAATACCAAACTTTAGTCTAAACAATAAATGCAATGCTTTTTTATCTGCTTGTGTAACTTAAATCTCGGAAATTAAATAACAGGAAAAGATCTTGAAAATTTGATTGATCAAACACACCTGATAAATGGCTTCATCGCATTCTCCTTGAATTCCTAAATTTATCATGGTATTACTGAGTGCACGCCCCATGTAGTACTCCAGAGAGAGGTAATAAACACGCTATRAATTATATAAATCAAAATTATGACTAGAAAACAAAATCAAATCATAAAATATACTTTTAATCTATTGGTCACCTTTTGGACCTTGATATTTGTCCACAATAGATAGTATTATTTCCACTATTATAACCTTACAATTTATGCTTCTATTTATTTCAGGGTATTATCTACAATCCTGGATAAAAACACTTGAGTTAAGAATTTGCACTCAAAGTATACATGTTTGGGTTCTTGGGGGAGGGGCAGGGGTGGACAGTATGTTCTGCTAAACTGCACTAAACATTGCATTAATTCTCAACCTTGTAGCTTGTCCATTTATCTCTTGAGCTTAATTTTTTTTATTTAATTAATTGCAGGATTGAGGTATTTGCTGTGGCACACACAAAAATGACTCATAAATATTTTCTTTCTTGTAAGTAATGTTATCATTTAACAAAATGTGCTAGACAAAAGAGCTCTCACACTATCATTTYCCAAGAGCTCCATGAGACATTTCTCGTAAAACATTAGGTAAAGGGAATRCATTTAGCAAAGCAAATGAAAATGTCATGCTATTTTGTCAGGAGTTGCTGCAAAGCTATTATAACTAGTTAAAAGCACCAATAATAGATCAAGGATAGTTATAACGAGGCGTAAAGGAGAAGTTTTACAGGCATAATTCCCTTTTCAAGCTTATCRTAAAGCATTATCTGAATAACAGCTGTTCATTGAAAAATTTGAGGAAAATGAGATTTTAAAAAGGCGAGGAAAAGCTCTATATTCTTTCCTGGAGTGAAGGAACACAATTACTAAATACAGACCATAACATGAAATACCCAATTGATTTTTAATTGCCTCACATGCCTCCTTTGTTTGCAATATAACAAACTCGTGCAGCACAGCACACACACGGATTTTGACAGGCCAATCAACAATTCAAATATGGAATTTGTACAACATATGCAAACAAAGGTATWAACAATGTCGACCACTTTTTGCATTTACTTTTGCCTTTACAAGAACCAAACCCATTGCAAACTACGCAGGCATATAAGTCTGAACAGAAGACATTGTAAAAAGATCAATTAACAGCTGACAGGATTTGCTTTAAACTAAGAGCTGTCCCACGTCAAAGCGGAATCTCGAGTTGAAGCATCCGAATTTTTCTGATCTGTGCTTTATAGCGAAAGTAAACGCCGACAATTTATACAAGGAAGYAAACTAAATAGTACCTTTGGATCYTTTTCGTAGTAGGTCTGCTGCGTTCGTATCCATTTTCCAACCAGATGATCTTTAACTGTATGGGCTAGGGCCGAGTAGTAGTCCCTTCTTGTCGCCACGTTTCGATCCTTTACTAGGGTGTAATGGAGATGCCGGTTAAAGGACTCTTTGATATCATTTACGCCTTCAATTACCGGCAATTTTCTCATGGAGATTTGACGCCTCTTGTCTGCATCGGACTGCGGTTTTTCTCCCATTTTGGCTGCAAAGAGAGCTGCAAATGACCTCTTGATGTAAACTTCCAAANACATTACTGGCACCTGAAAGAAGAAACACGAAGAAAAAACATGAATACCAAGAACCAGCAGAGCAAGACTGATCATAAAGGTGAAGGGGACCAAACCTTGTTCCCAGGCCCGACCTCAAGGGAAGGGATAAGGCCTTGGGAAAGAGGCTGAAGAGGACAAAGAAGAACAAGAAGTAATAGGACGAAAAATGGATCAATTACAATTACAATTGGCAACACTATCACCTCAACAACAACATCAACAGCAAGGTCATAGGAGGAACTTCAGTATCCAAAGATTTGAGATTTTGTAGGTTCAGGACCGAGCTGTTCAACCCAATGTAACTCTTAAATGCCCACGTGCTACCAAGAACCTTTGCGATCGTTTCTTTTGTTTTACAAGTGGTCTCTGTTTAAAAGTTGCTTTCTGATTGGTTCAAAATCTAAGATGGCCAAAAAATCACGCAATGGTTCTTGGATGCGCGTGGGTCTTTATTTAACATTTCATAAATCCTAGTTGACCATGGATCAATGATTGAACTCAAACCCCTCAGAATGTCAACTATTACGTCATACCTCTGACAGCCACGTGACATATGGCGCATTTGAGACCAAATCGTCTACAGGTGTGACAGAGCGCACCGTTGACTTTCTTTCGACAATTATAACATCGTGAGCTAACCTCTGATGAGATACAAGTAGAATGCCATAAGTAATTCAATGTCACTTATTAACGAAATCCTGCCTATGGTCGTGATATATGGACTAAGACTGCTGGCAATTTTCCGGGTTTTCAGGTTTTTTTGCTTATTTTTCGCTAAAATTCCAGTCAGGATAACGCGGACGTAGCAGACCATGAACAACTGGACCACGTGTCAATCAATCGGAGCGCGCAATTGGCGGTCCAAAATAAAACAACTCAGTAACGTCAGAATGACGACTGATGGTTGGCTGATATGCAGAATTAACAATGTAGCACAAGCACCTCGGGTATATGTCATCAATCAGTCAGAGGGGAGGTGGGGAAAAAAGCGGAGGGCGGGGAACTTCCACATGATTCGAACCACCTTTCTTTGCATAGCAATACTAGATATCATCTTACCATTATTTTTCTGTGATTCTTGTCTAACGCTGAGAAACTTCAAAATTTCAACACGCTTTTCAAGCATGTTCCATCGATGAAGGACATCGGCGTATTTTTTCTTGAAATGATCGTTTAATTGAACTTCGCTTGCCTTGGTTAACCTAACAATGGTCGAATGATCTTTAAAACTCTACATGAATACAAATGACTCCATAGTATAACACTTGGTAGAAATATTTCGATCATTTACAAGAAAAACCATATTCATTTGAGATGATGATGATGATGATGATGATGGTGATTAAGATGATAAGCTTTAATAATCCTAGCTGTTTCGATAGGTCTCTTCAGCAGCCTTTAAGCAACTATCGAGTAAAATCTACACCTCTGAAGCTCTGCGTGATTTGCAATGTATTGTGGAATCAGTTTATGGAGAAACCAAAAGAAATCCGCCATGTTTTGTTCCAAACATATCCAACAATGCAATGCGCATACGGATATAGATGTCATATGTAGACTATGAGAGTCAAATTACTTTGATTCGTGCCTTACACACACAAAGGGTATTTGCATTTCAATACACAAAATAAAAGAATAGATCACATTTCTTTTGAGCTTGTCTTGATAATAATATCAACCGCCCCTGTAGTCTAATGGATATGACGTCGGCCTCCTAAGCCGAAGGTTGCGGGTTCGAGTCCCGTCGGGGGTGCAAAAGTATATTTTTATTTGTTTTTGACRTGTTAAGATAGCAATYAGATACAAAAAAGAGAAAAACCGCTATGAACTTTTAACGTTTTACTCTCTAGAACTTTTCAAGAAGACATCTAATTTAGAGAACACAGAAAACTAGGAAATGAAAATTGAAAGATATAACTTTGAAAAATTCATTTCAGACGACTTTAGTTAAACGTCATTTTAGATTCATAATTTTGATGTTTTACAAGAAAGGTATAATCCTTTTGGTCATCGTTCAATTAGCATTATTGTGCTTTTCCTATAAGGGTTGAAAACATTTTGCACTGATGACGTCAAAAAACGAATAGACCAACACAGGTAACCCAAGATTGAAGGCAGGCAATTCTAGAGATCACACAGCTAATGTGGCGATAACACTTACCGGCAGTTTTTCTCATGTGCTTTTCTCTGTTCCTCTGCCAAATCTTTTTTAATGATAAACTCGGGAGGAGTCCAGCTTTCAAAGGGCATGGTAACATCGCTCCAAGGGTTGTCTTGGGGACTGGTGTCCGTACTGTTGCTCATTGCTGACCTGGATCGTTTGACTGACTATAACAGACATATAGTTGGTTATAAGAAAGTTCTTTCATTCATTCAATCTATAATTTATTTTCTTCTCATTTTTCTACCCATTTGTTCGTATGTATAACGTTTTTCTTGTTCGGCATTATTTCTTATTCTGTTGTTCTTTTTCTCCCTTTCGTTCATTTCCTTCCATCCCGTGTTTTTTATTCATATCAGTCTTATTTCCTCTTCARACAAAGATTTCAGTGTTTCCTGAATGAAGTCAAAATCCACTTTAATTGACTTATATCACTTCATTTAGACTGCCTCAGAGCGTGCCTCAGTGCCACACGATCAATCATTTTACTTCTATGAATTTCGGTATATTTTCCTTTAACACTATAATCTTATTGGAATATTCTTATAGAAATCGGTAGAATAAACCCCAATGAGTAGACTCACCGGATGTTGAGTTTCGTAGATGACAGGAGGGGAYGATGTATATAACGTTGTTCCAAACGTAAAAGACTTGCTTCCAATGAGATGTGGTTGAATTCCAGGAGGTTTGAGGCAGTCTGGTAACGAGTGATGGCATAATATACATGCMAGCATGCCCAGCATTTGAACGTCGTGTATCTTTGTGTAGTAAGTTATTCTAAAATACACATAAACAAGTTATTAGTAACGAAACTGAAAAACAATGACATCACAGCGCGTCAGCCACTAATGGGCCTGTATAATTCTTTATAACATACTCAGTCTCAGCCAATTATCCTGTTTCATTATGATGTCAGAGTTTGTTTACATCGGGAAAAGATGCTCAAAAGCAGCGGAAATTTGGACCCATTTATATCCTCTCCGAGAGTAGAACTTAAATGTATTTTGATATATGCCATGAATCAAAGATTTCTAAAATGTATTTTATTTGATATGCGGACACTGTGATCCCTTCTGGCGACCATGATCCTTAGCGTTAAAACAATAGAATGTTTTGATTTGACGTCATAATGAAATAGGGCAATTATCATTAGTATTCGTTAATATTGTCATCAAGTCATTGTAATTAGTGCAATACTTACAGAGATTGAATAAGATTCCTTCCAAATGGATGTCGTGCCCAAGGCGTGACGTCAACAACGTCTGAAAACTGTGCCAGCGTTCTATCTAGTACCAGTCCTARTAACGACCAAGTCTGCACCAGGTCTCGCCGACCAACAGACATTGCTGCCGACTTGTTTTTCTTGCATATCTCRACAATGTCATTACCTTCAAGCCTGCAATGAAGTGTTCAGCATATATAATAATGCCCCATTCTATAGTTCCCGGCGATCTTGAAAGGTATCCAAGCCTTTGCATCAAAGCGAGGCATTGGTTGAGCTTGCAATGATAGATACTTGTAAATAATGATCCTAGGTGCAAACAAGAGCTATCTATTACTGAAGACTCAGTCCCCGTCTTGCTTTGATGCAATGGCTCGGTTACCTTTCGAGCTACTTTTACTCCCTCGACATGACACAATTTCGCTAACAGATTCAAGATGGCGGCTGTGTGAGTAAATTTAGAAATGAAGTCAACTTACGTGTATAGTTGTGCAAGGTTTTGATGAAGCGGCATCAAGGCACTCACGTCGTGAATAACGACTAAACCAGCAGTTGACGAGCTTCGTGTTGACTGTCCTCTAAAAGWCTTACGATTGTCCTTACAACAAAACACAATAATWATGGCTTCAAAAACAGCAGTCCATGTTTTTTGAAACTACTGGYTYCGCTTCCTCTAAAATTCTTAGTGCACTCTCTAAAAGATTGCAAACGTAGTCCGTAGTACAGGAAAAAGATATATTTCTCAATCTATAGTACTTGATTAACTGGAAGTCTAAAATGAAACAATTATCATCAGTTTTATTACCTGGCTAAGGGTTCTAAAGTATCCAGCTTTCCTTTGAGCGCCTCCAAGTTGACCAAATGATCCAAATGTTTTGGAATGTCTTTGATTACCGAGGCTACTACTGGAGTTGATTAACGGTGGTAAAGCAGGACCACTTCCTGGTCGGTAGTTGTAGGCAGATAATGCTGACAGTGACCTGGTTATCAGACCACAAGAAAATTAGTTATCAAAGGACCATGATCAACCGGCATTCAATGCGACCGTGTTTTATATTTTAACTCTATCATGTTCTTTTCTTATGTTTATCGATGTCATTTTRGACTTTGAGTCTCAGCCAATAAAAACACACGTGTCAATCATGTTAGTTTATAATCACCACTAGTGCGCATGTCTGTTTTACCTGGGCGTTGGTTCCTTGGAAGAACTTGGTCGAGTAAAGCAAACAAGAAAACCTGAAAGTTACGATATACGTATCGCTGAATCAATTTGAACGTTTCCTTTYAAGAMTCGAATGAATKAATTACCATTGGCTCCAAATCKCGCTCCTGAAGTCCTGGGGAAAGGTATCGCGGCGTCCTGGTARCTACCGTAGGATACGTCGCGTCGATAGGTGATTGGCTCACGCACATCAACAATTAGTTGCTCCTCCTGAATCTAAAATGATAATGATGACTGACKGATGACAAGTTWTCCCTTAGGTAGGGAGGGGTGGGGAAGCTAAATACTTACAGTCAATCCTTCAACATGGCTGACAAGCTGTCGTAAACAKGGCTCTAGACATGTTTGATTTAGTTTGACGTGACTCTGAGCTGTCTCGCGTAAAGTCTACAAGAAAGACGCACAAAATGGAGTGTCTTAATTAAATGTAATATAAAAATGAATAACATGAAAAAAATCTACAATTGATGTTCACCTTGATAAGTTTAGTTTTCGTGCTYAGTGACAACGCTGTATCCGGTGTGAACTCGAAYGAAGGGATTGCGTTATTTGGATACATGGCGGGAAAATGAATTGACAGCGTGACATGTGGACCACTTGTCACGGATACTGTACAACACCGCTGACTAGCATCCATCTGGAATCAAAACACAATAATTAATGTCGAAAATATAAAATTTCTGATCATTAAAAAGCAGTCGGGTTTGCGGCGTTATATTGGGGGTGGTCGGTTTAACAGTGTTTGTGTAAGTCAGTTCCGGTCGTATAAAAGGGGTCAGTACCTGTTCTACAGTAACGTTAGGAATGTTAACATTTATCAATGCAAATTCTTGCTGAATTGTTTGTGGTATGGATGATCGTTTCTCGCTCATTATCTCAAATGATCCATAGCTTGGGCTTCCAGTGGATAACACTTCAACAGAAGAGCTCATTTCTGTGTGGTCACTTTGAGGATTTTCACTACATGCCTGCAGGAAAAAACATTTTGTCAAATAAGTTATACAGCTGCTGCAAACTAGCCTTACATAGGAAAGTGCCACTCTATCCTAGACCTGGAATCATGCTTATGTATAAATAATGCGCACTTACTGAAATTATTCGAGGCTCCAGTGACCACATTCTGAGACAGTTGTCTTTTGACCAAGAGATAAGCTGGAACTGGTCTTCTCCTGGTGATTAAAAGACATGAGTTATATGTGTACATAACTCTAGTCTCTTTTATCTTGGTTACACATTTGGAAATTAGACATAGAATACTAACATAGCCCTATACAATGAATCACGGCGTCCAATATGGGCCAAAAACAACAATAACAAACACAACAATTAGAGGATGAAGGAAGGAAGAAACAAAATGTTTCAATAAAAGGCCAAATACTGACCATCCACACTCTGTGACCTCCAATGGAAGTCCAGCACTACATCAGTATGACCATCAAATGTGTGCACAGGGGGTGGTACTGTGGAAGTCATGTTGGCAGTGTTCCACAGACACAGAGAGTGTTCGCCACGTCTAAGCTGAGGAACAACAACTGTTACCAGCCCATGACCAAACGGCTAAGAAAAGGACAAAAATAAGCACACATTAGTACACATGAGAGAAAAAAGAATGTAGTTATAATAGCATTATGCWTATCTCATGGATTATTTCAAATTACACTCAAATTTGACTCCTGAATCAGGAAAATAGAAGTTGCAAAAGCCTGTTCCTCAATGCTGAAGCATCATGGAAGTCTAGGTATCTCAGAGGCTTTTAAATGAGAAAGAAAACAGGATGAGTGGGAAAAGGAAGAAAAGGATTTCTTACTGTRTATCGTGCTCTCCAGACTGGGTAACTTGCATTCAACTTTGCTTCTGGCTGTTGAGGATTCTGTGTGTTCCATAACTAAAGAAGAGGAAATGGTTTAAACCAAAATAAAAGTAATTAATCTAGTTCAATGGTTGTTAAAAACTCTCTGGGAAAGAGAGTTTCCATGTTACCTTGACAGTCGAGTCATTACTGCATGTTGCAAGTGCCATACTACTGTTATATGACCAGTCAATGCCGTGCACCTTGGATAGATGAGCTGTTATGTAGACTACAGGGGCGTTACCTTTCTGAAATTGAATTCTTAATTTGAATGTCTTAATCGCAATAAAGATCAATATCATTTCATTCTGACCATGATAATAGTTGGTATTGACTCTCAATTTAAAGTTTTCTTTTGTTCTKTATTTWAATAAAACAACRCTAACTACTGGTCATTTTTGTTTCAGGCTCAAATACAACAAMTCTAAYACACAACACAATTTTTAAAGTAGAAAAGCTTACTCTAAGGTCCCATACTCTGATGTCTCCATCATGGCTTGTAGCAAGAACATGTCTGTCTTCTCTGTTCCATTTCACTTGAGAGGCACCAACTATCAAAGGATGATTATATTATATAAAAGATTCTCAACTATTATCTACCTAAGTCATGAATACATTCATATTTGTATAATGACAGCTCAATCTTATGTTGTATTAAATTCTTTTGTTCCCTAATGACATATTTACACTAAGTATTTACAATTTGTATTGTTTTCAGTCAAATTACTTACCAACTGTCTGTAAAGAGGTGGCAGGCTTCTTGCCATCCCTAACAWCATACAAACACAATYATAATAGYRTATAATCATTATCATGATGGMAACATTTTCATCATGCTCACCTTAAATCCCAAATATACACAAACTGGTCCACAGAGCAAGTAGAAAGAAGCTGAGGGTCATACCATGACCAATTCACATCACTGTAAACATACAATGAAAAAGCAAAAACAAAAAACACTATAGACTGAAGTATATAAACATTTTAGGCATCTTTATGTATCACTAGGTGATGCACTTAAAATACAGTACATTGATTCCAAGGAGAAGATTCCTCTTTCTAGTAGTTTATAGTGTAGAAAATATGTTTTGTAAGTAAGAAAGAAATATTTTTTKTGTGTGTGTATGARCCTTACCTTATTGCTCTTGTGTGRGCTCTGAGAATCTGCTGTTGTGTACCRCTACCATCTCTCCAYCTCCAAATTTCTGCTTTTTGGTTAGACTGAGACATAAAGGCATAAATGAATGGATAGTAAGTGGATGGATGTAAGGTTGGATGAATGAGAGGGAAAGAGGGATCTTTTAAATGAAGGAAACATGAATGACTGAATAAGAGAATGAATGTAGAGAGCAAAACAAACAATGAGTTTATGAATGATTGAATAAATAGATAGACAACAGAAAAGAAAAAGAAGGGAAAAGAAAGAAAGGAAAGAGCAGTAAACGAATAAATTGTATCAATGGAAGAAGAAAGAAGAAAGAAGGGAATATTTATACAATGGAACCAATAAATCACAACGATCACAAATGTCATAGGTAAGTTTTAAAACTATAACAATATACATACCACAGAGACWAGTGTATGYTTATGAGAAATGTGTGGATTCCATTCAGTAGTGCCACATTCCCACTTGCTGTTTCTGGTCACCTTCTTGGCRATGACAGAAGGATTCTCTAAATTAATGAAGGCCAARCCTTTACGACTGCAAAACAAGTAAAGAGGCATAAGAACATTTTATAAGTAATAATGAGTTTATTATTCATCAATGACTTTAACATCACAATAAAACTGGGGATACAGTATCTAAGAAGATTTTGATGTTGGATTTAAATATATAATCTTACTTACGCTCCTAATACAGCATGACTTCCAGTGCAATCTACAGAAAACACTGTGGCCTGCGAATGGAATAATACAAACATTGAAAACACATTGGTTGTAAACTAAAGTTTTAACGATTTTGTATCATGACAAGCGAAAGACATTCAAAACGTCTGTATTGAATATTAGAATGCTATAAGATCTTTTAATCTTGCACGAAAGCGCATTTCTGTATAGAGTCGAGACAGATCAACAAGCTCTTGTTATCAGAAAGTATAGAAATCGGAAAGAAGTAAGAGATCGTATCCATCTAATATGAAGACATCAAGAGTCCTAGCCTTATATGCATTAGTTAGCACTGCACACATGTGAATACTGCGCTCTTACCGGCCAATCGGTGTGGGGAAAGAAAGAGTCCTTGAAGGCCGCCATCTTGGTTATTTTTGTTTTGTGAAGATGTCCGCTGACTACTTCCTCCTTTGGATTTTTATTATGGGCTTCCTGTGGTGCTCGCAACATTAAGATTTATTTGGTCTTATTTGCTTCAACAGTGTGTTTATTCAGTTTATTGTGAATTAGTTTTCTATTCTGGACTCTGCTTTTTATTTATGTGACAAAATTATCCAGTATTAAATTTTAGACAAAGTATGACTAAAGTTTTCATATAATATCCAAGAAAAAAATGCGATGAGCCGTGGGTAGGAAAAAGTCGTTTAAAAAACAAAATAAGATCAAATAAATAAATAGGTAAAATGAAAAAAATGAAAAAAACGTCCAGTTTAATTTCTTGTGCAGGCTTTGTATATGAGGTATCCTCCAAGGCCGACGCCCATAGCAACAAGCCCATACTTGACTGCCTTAGTACCAGTAATACCACTTTCATCTAGCTTCTTCTCCTTCTTCTTTTCTTTAAAGGAGATGTTAGCCAAATCAAAGGAGAGTCTTTCCTTGAAGCTACCCTTTTTTAAGCTTCGTAAGGAAGAAGATGCTTTATTAACATGCGAATTAGCTCTTTTTCGATCACTCGCTTTGTTGACATCAATCTCATTTCTTTTCTCAATGTTGTGGAGTGGTGACTTTATCTTGTCAGTCATACATCCCACAGAAACCATGAGAAGTTTCTCTTCCTTCTTTTCAACTTCTTTGTTTGTTTTTCGTTTCCTGACACGTCGCGGTCGTGGAACTTGTTGCTCGGACTCAGTTTCAGATGAAGAACAACAGGTCTTTGATTTGGTGATGTAACCAATATCAGGGATTGACAAAGCCAGTCTGTTTGATTCTTTCTCCTCATCCGATGTCCACGTCCAAGCTGTCTTCTTTAGTTTAGGTGCGGGAGGTGTCCAGCCTTCCTTTTCGTAGCGCGCCAAGAAGGTCGAGAGACTGGAACTGCTGTCATGTATTTTGTCAGGGTCAAAGACAAGACAGTCTTCACTGTGTGATGAGATTTCTGAATGGAAACCGTGCTGCGAGTAGATCATCCATGGTTCTTTGCTTCTAAATGACTTTGGAAGCAGCCTGTAAAAGAATGCAGATAAAATTATGATTCCTCCCTTTCCTTAACCTATATTCTTACGCGGTCCATCCATCCAATCAACCAACCAACCTACTCAACCATACTTTTGGTCGTCTATCATCCTAAGTCCCTAAACATGAATCCAGTTGTGTCCTAGTGTCCGGCTGTCCGTCTTTCAACAGTCAATCGATCTGTCGACCGGAAACGTTTGTCTTTCACTTCCGCCCATCCATTTCTCAATTGATTTTTTCCATTCCATCATTCCCACCAATTCATCCACTATTTCAATATACTTACAATTTCAAAGGAATAAAGTGAAATACTATATAGAGCAGTAAAAATCTGCTGAAGTAGATGTCGATGGAGCTTCCTTTGAATTTGAAAGCAAARTCTGAAACGAAAGAAAWT